GTGGACGTCCTCTTCAGCTTTGTTCACGTAAACACCAGTTAGCAGTCAAACACCACGACAATTCTTCGCTTTCATCAATACAAACGGACAACTATGAACATACACTCGATTGGAACAATGTGGAAATACTGGATACGGGGAGCACAAAGAACACTAGTGTTACGCATGCACGTAAAAACGTCATTTGATAGGCTTGAACCATTACGAGTTCATTCTAATCAGTGAACAAGAACGAGGATCGAGGATCCGACGACACGACATGCTACTCTAATCCGAGTGTCCCAACCGCCATATTGAGTAAAAAGAAGAAGACTTGATATGAAGTAGAACGTGTATTCTACAAGCATCCAGAAAGTACGAGGTCCGAGTCCAGAAGAGAATCAGGATCCCGGACTAGGGATCCGGGTCCGGGTAATAAAACGTTACAGATAATCCGTATTTATACATTTAGGTCGAATAACTAGAGAATTTCTGGAAGCTAAGCACTCAGGTCATCAGCAATCAACAAACACATCGACAGTGAACCGATTTACCGAACAATCAGAAAAATCATAGGCAAGATAGGATCAGGAAACAGATCAAAAGGGTGATACAATCAAAACAAAGGTGAAAACAACGACAGGTTTAAGGTCAATAGCAACCAGTCAAGATCGAGGTTAACAGAACAAGCTACGGGCCAAGTGTGGAGAAATTCGAACACATCACTTCTATCTGAAATTTGTACTAATGATGTTGTTCAGAAGAACGATGAAAGCTCCAAAAACAAAACATCCAGCTCAGAGAACGGAAAATCACCACAATCATGCACCTGGGCTATAAATTCTCTACACGACCTTGACATCCTGCCAGATACCTTCAAATTACCGGCAACCCCATCACGAGAAGGAGGTCTTTTCGACAGTGGAGAACAACAGTCAAGATGCAACGTACGCTATTATAAACGGAAGGAGTATTTGGGTTGTTAGGTCCACAGAACTCACTTGGAAAAGACCCTAATTTTGTAATTTTATTCTAAAATCTCGGATTTCTCTGTTTTCTCTACAGAAACGTTAGGTTGACCTTCAGCTTGCTTTTCCAACTAGGAAAATCCTTGACTGTCATTGGTTGATGGATTATTTTGTTACTCTATTTCGTGGCTCAAGAGGCTCCCAAAGGCGTTTCCATCATTGTATAAATAAGCTTGAGATTAGTGCTTAGCAACCTCGTATTTCCTGGGTACCTGTAGAATACATTCTCTACGCTTTATCAAGACTTCTTGTTCCAGTTAGCGTGGTCTGGGACAATCAGATTAGAATAACCTATTGTGTCACTGTATCGTTGATCTTCGTTCAGTTTACCGAACAAGATGAACTCGTAATAGTTACAAGCACATCAAGAACCCTAAGAGGTTTTCTTGCGATATCTTTCCTATGTCCAGTAAGCCTCAAACAAATACGCGCTCGTACTAGAGCATGGTCTGAATGCAACCTAATAAATTGATTTAATAGTCTACCATTTTCATTGAAGCCGACAAAAATTATCGAAGAATGAAAATTCAATACATGTTTACTGATTCCGAATTTCTTGTATTTACCTATGAATTCAAAATATCATATCATGAAAGTAGAAAATAATGGTTTCTAGGTTTCTGAATTTTATTGATGATGAGAATTTCTGGTTTTTGATGATTGGCATTAGATTGTGTGTTAGCAAAATGAACATGCCTCTTCACATTGAATATTTAACATAATCAATGATAAATTAAAATTAAATGATTCCGTTAATAGTTAACATGGATATAATTTTGATCAAAACCATTGTCAACCTATAACACACTAAATGAATGTACTTTTCTATTTCTTTAAAACTTCAAATAATAACAACAATCTTTATAATTCTAATGATTATATAACAGTCGTGTTAACTTAATAATATATTTTATAATTCCATTTCATTTATAGCATAAAATACATTAAACTGACCTATTTGGATTAATTTAATCACAACTTGCTATTTCATTGCAACTTTATGAGATTAATGCAATATTCACTTTTACATAGTACGAATATATATTCTGCTCCGTGTTGTTAAGATTTATTTTTACAGTATATACTATTTGAACTATAATAATTTCGATTTCTATCACAGAATAAAGCCAATTTTTTAATTTTAGAAAGTTTATAGTTACTACTATCAACAGCGTTTCTATAGAAAACTCTACTGTGGCAGTCAATGCTTGACAATGAATCGCTGAGTGATTTACACACGAATATTACTTGATTTACACACTAACCCATTCGGCTGTAGTTTAGTGAGTTCGAGTAAATTCTTTATACTTCCGTCATGCGGTCATGTGATTTCCTGAAGAGGTTATTTTCATCCAACTTTCTACAGATTCACTTTTCTTATGGAACACTTTCTTATTGAAATGCCACCATGTTTTTGCACTAATTCAAATATTTTCTAAAAATATTACGTCACGAAATAAATCACTAGTAAGCAC